GCAGTGACTAAAACATCCCTGTGTTAACAACACTGTTTTCAGCACAAATTCAAAACATAGCCCCATCCTAGCTACTGTGAAGAAAATTAACTCTACCCCAGCCAAAACCAGCACAATATGGTATGCTGACGGGGTTAATGTTTGTTCTTGCTTGTAATACATTTGGCTTATATCTCTATCAAAATACAAATGGCACTTTGTTCAGGGGTCTCCTTAATACTGTAGCTCTTCTGACTTGCATGTTGTGTTGAAACTTCTGCCGATGACACTAAAAAACTATTTTGAAGTGGGGAATGTCATCAAGTAAAGGCTTGTACCCGAGAAGCCAATGTAAACCCTACAGCTAACAGTTATGACTCTCTCTCAGTGATGAACTAATTCTCCAACCAGTGAACTTGCAGCTGGCCTAGAGCTTTGGCTAGTATGGTTGAAGACAGTACAAAGAGGAGATCCTTTTCACAGACGTAAAGTGATTCTGCTACTGCTTACAATACAGACAAGGTAAGTAGAGATGTGTAAAAGCATCTAGTTTAAGGATTATAATCAAACCAAGTCTCACAGACTTTCTATGTTTAGTACTGCATTTCTTTTCAAATAACTGTAACTTTATAGTGCTTTCAAGAGAAAAAAATTCTGTTTAAGAAATTCCTTTGCTAAACGCATATTCACTGCATTTCTTTCACTTTTTTGCTGATTAATATGTCTAAGAACCGAAGTTCCTACATGCACATAGACTTCTAGGACTTGGAACTAAACTTAAAAAAAGTAAAAGAGGGCTGAGGGAGTGCATGCAGCTTTTAAGGCATATATGACAGCATCCCACAGTTAGAAAAAGGTATCAGGTATGGGTTTTTATTTCTGGATGCATGCCTGAGAGATCCAGTATTAGTCACTAAGTAGACAAAAGCCATTTAGAATTCGGGCCTGAAGCTAACCAATGAGTGTACCTCTAGAAAAGGCATGTATCAGGTAGAAGGGGAGAAATGTCCGACTAAACCAAGTACTTTAGGTAACAGAACTTGTAGAGAAAGAGGGAAGTGTGAAAATTTTTCTGCTTCAGCGGTGAGATAGGAGTAAGGATAACATTGGCAAATTGTTGGTAAAAATTGAAAGATCGGATTCACAAGCTAGTGACTACAAATATGGCAACAGAAGTGCCCAGCAACGTTTTAAAAAATGTGGTCACAACTTGGCTCCTTGATGCATATTCAAATATCTAAGTAATTATCCAGAATTTCAAATAAGTATCCAGAATTTTAAATATGTTTTCACCAGACTTATTAGCTCAGGATTATTTAGTCTTCCTAAAAAAGGAAGAAATTGGATTTAGCTTATTAAAAAAATCCAAACTTGCTTACCATTTCTGCAGACTGTAAAATTAAGCACTGAAAAATTCATATTTATGCATGTACTGGGAGCATTTACAAAACAATGCAAGGACACTTGACGATTTGCCTTTCACAGTCTTTTGTTTTCTTTTTCTTTAATGATATTAGGTAAAGGAACAAGGACAAAATCATGTGTTCCAAAACTTCTCAGTTTATAAGTGAAATCAGTAATTAATCCAACTTGAAAGGGTATAGATTTTTATTTCCTTGCAAGTAACATTCTAGCTACTTCAATTGAATACCATTTAATCCCTGACAAGAATCTGCAAAGCCCTACATATTTAACATTTCTGTGGTTCAGAAATACAAAGAAAACACAGAAAAATCACGAGCTGTATGGCACCACCACCCCCACCCCCCCCATACAAATTTTCTTTGGCTGTATGGTGGAGTGCCCCCTCCTTCTCATTAATAAGAGCATTGCTGCCCTTAAATGGTATCTGTACATTTTCATACTGTTGCCAGACTGGGTACAGTCACAGCAGAGCAGCTCTAGCTCCAAGGGTGTTCAGGATGATGCTTGCCAGAGGGGGTTAGGAAGAGCGGCTGCCTGTTAGCAGTCAAGCATGATTCACACAACAGGCTGCATGTTCCATACGCAAAACATGCGGTTTCAGAAAACAGATGGAACCACCAAGTGCCAACATATTAATTAATTATCATATACTTCCTTTTCTGTCTCCCCGCTCATGTTTTGGAAGCATTATGATAATTATTCACAGCATGTTCAGTGCCTCGGGTGTTGTAGAACAGCTATTTAGACACCGAGTTCCTCACTGGGAACAGGTACTTAAACACGCAGCTCCTGGAGGCAGGAGCCAGCGGCCCGCCGCCCCCTGGAGCCCAGCGCGGCCTGCTGCGCCCCCGGCATGCCGCAGCGTCCCGGGCAGAGACGCAACGCCCCACGCACATCTTCCGCAGGGTCCCGGGCACAGGGTGAGGCAAGCGTAGGGTTGCCCACGGCTGAGTTTCACAGGGCTCACCTCCCAGCCCGCGGAAGGCCCAG